CACACTCTTTTATTGAACACTCAATCAAGCCACAAATTTACGAAAAGGGATTACGGGATCTAAATTCAATTATGTAAACTCAACACTATCCAACCCTTCAGACACTTCCCTTATGGCAGTTTAAAAGCGCGTCGTTAAAAGCTTACGGGCAGAGTTTGTGCATCTTGATCGACATTTAACTAGATGCGAGATATATGGCATATTACTTTATACTGTCATGGAATAATTTGCATTTTAATAACACTTTATATTCCATACAATGTTTGGTTTATTATATTATGTTATATTATAAGATATTATGTATTGTTGAAGGATAAAGAAATGAACTATAAACACTTGTCAATAGGCACTTTATATGTATAAATTAATAATTGCAGACATCTTATATGTTCCGTTGCTTGTAGCATCTCGCGTCTGAGGGGGTGCCGGAAAGGGTGTATGTAGTTTGTAAGTGAAATGTGGGCTGCTTGAAACGCCGTTGTCCCCATGTAGCCGGATCTTCGCTCCATTTATCGTTTCACGTTTAATGGCAGTAATTACTTCAGCCAACAGAAAGCGAACCAGCGTTAGAATTCACTATAATGTGACCTAAATCGACGTGCCGCACAAACTAATTTTATTCACCAAAGGCTTCGTAATCCATTAGTGGGCATTGACAAAGTGCAATTTTTGTGTAATTAACGAAATAACATAATAACTTACAATTCATAGGAATGAAATCACTCAACTATGCTTAAATGATTTGCTAATGATATTTAATAAACTCAGCTGAATCTGCTTCTGTTTTGCTAATTTTTGTTATTGTTCAACATGGATATAGACCACTCTTAGTTTCACTTTTTTCGTGTACCAAAAAAACAAAGATAATTTCTTTTGCCTCTCTTTGAACAATTTTTATTATAATAAATTAATTTTAATAGAAAAAAAATTATCAAGACTTATATAAATAATCATCAAAACCCACATTTAATACGTTTTAACTGTTCTATTCTCAATTACAACCAAGTAATTGCAATCGAAAACCATTTGACAAACACCATCTCATGTAGCCAATTATTTCTCAAGGCAACTCGGACCCATGAGTTGCGAAGGAGCTTTGTGATATGGATCCCCTCGGGAGTCAAGACATATGAGGATGGGATGCGTAGACCCTTTATCATCCCAGAATTGAAACCGTCCGCTTTTTACTGCCTTAAATATGTATACGTGTTAAATCTTTCCAATAACTGACAATAAATCAATAATTTGACTTTATCACAGACCTGTTTCTTTTTACTTTCTTTTCTCGATGCGGAATTCCGTTATTGCTTTGTTACTGAACAAATTAAGTTTTATTGGAATTGCATTAACAGGATTACGTTGTGGACCTGTTTTTAATAAAACACGTATAATGTTGCTAACGATGATTTACACACAACAGATGTCTTCACATAAATAAGGAGATAAACATATATGTAATATTTGACAGAAATAAGAATAATGCTTATTCTTATACTTTTTATAAATGCTATTTTAATAAAATTGTTTATGTGTATGTGTAAATGTCTTTAACAGCTAAAAAAACCTAAAATGACTAATTAGTTTTAAACACAGACATAAATATATTACAAACTAAAACTCGCATTACAAATCATCATTTCGATTTTCACAACAGAATTTACTAAACGAGGTCTTCAAAGTTCCGTGTCATTTCCCCTCATTAAATTAATCGCTATGACATAACTATTGAGAATAAAGTTTGTTTTAAATATAATGCAGAGTATGATCTACACATAAAAGTGCAAGGTAATAAAACACCACATGATAAATGGCACAACGAAAAGGTACGAGCACCTGTGTCAGTAACATGGAGGAATAAAATGATATACCATTTTATTCCTCCATGTTACTGACATATTGGTTTCGTTGTAGGAGATAATAACGGCAGAATAAACCATGTGATTCGCTTAATGTCGATCGCAGACCCGAACAGTGCGTACTTCCAATTAATATGCTAGGCACAAAGCTTTTTCCATGTTTCATTGTAAACGAGTTTTTACTTAGTAGCTTCACCATTCAACTAATGAATCTATCGTTAGATTAAAAGGGGCAATTTATTAAACAACAATTCATGTAATAAATTACTATTGAAAATGTTTTCTATAAAATATGTCAAAAATGGTATGAAATATTAATTATATTAAAAATTTTGATATTTTGTATCAATTTTTTAGGAAGAGCTCGAATGGCTGCGCAAGCATCTCTTGAACATAATATCCATTTAACCTACTTCCTTTCCGTGGTTGCTTTAACTAATCTTCCCACTAATTGAACGGTGGCCCTACACCAAAGGTGTGTTTATATTGAATTAAGGTTCACTACTACTTTAATAAAATGCGAATTTATTATAACTTGCTAACCAAATTGCAATAAAAAAAATAAAAATCCTTTTAATGCAACATGATTAATACATAAGAAATAATTTTCATATTTACGATAACAGCGATAGGGAGATGCGACGGAATAGATATTTTGGTTAATTTAAGCCCGTATTAACTTCTGTAATACGCTGATCTATGCTATCTGGCGCTGTTGACATCGTTCTCAACCGATAGTTATGACTTAAAGCTAATTATAATTAAAATTTGGTAAACAATATTCGCGAGTTGTTCGCCCAGTCTAAGATTTTTGTAAGATTTTATAAGCTTTCCTTGGCAATATTTAGTTTTTAAATTCCTTCAGCTCCACTGGCTGAAGATTAACTGATTTATGGTATAAATCGCTTTCGAGACGATCTTTATTTCATTCTGAAAATCTCGTTATTCTAATTACCACTCAATTGATGATTATATTCCTATTTGGCTCGTTTTTGGCAGTCGTCTAGTCCTTAATTTTAGTATTGGGAGAGGGTATCTTCACAGTGTTTCCCGGGGGAAAGTTATGTGGGCTTCTTATCCATTAACCCCCCTTTATTGTTAAAAACTATACGTTGGGTGGCAGTACAGGATCTCCAACGTAACGCTGGGGCGTCCGGCTGCAATGCTATTGAATACGCCCGTGAGAAGGTTTACACCTTTTTAATCTCAATTGCTTTGCGGCTCGAGAAAGCTTTGCGTCGTCGTCCTTACCGGGTCTACTGAATTGAACTGTAAAGGCCCATAATCTTCCTCACCCAGAATCCTCATTCCAGTCGTCGTTTGTGTGACGACAAATCTGTGGTGGTGGCCTTGGCCTGCCTCGGGAAATTTTGGTACGGTTACATAAACGTTCAGTTTAACCAAACGCTTTACGGTGCTCAAACATTTCTGAAATCAGATCGAAATCTATGTGTGCGTTATTGGAATAATGGCTTCAAAAATAATATTCCTAACAAGTTTTAATATCTTTTTATTTCATCTAAATTCAAACAAATATTGTTAATTCATTATTACGAAAGAATGGAAACAAAAATTAAACTTTTATAGTTTTACTCATCATCATGATCATTATCATTTCAGCCTGTTCGAATCCACTTCAAAACTAGGCCTTCCATACAGACTGCACAGAGTGTTCTTATTTTATGCCATTAGATTATTCGATTAATTTACTTGTTTCGCCGTCAGATTTATACTGCGGCGAAACAAATAAATTAATTGATATCTGATACTTTAAGCAAACTTAACGGTGGTAGAGCCACGCAGCAGCCTCGGCTGTTGCACGAATGGGCAGGCCCGTCCGGGTAAGTACCACGACCTCACAAAAGACCGGCGTAAAGTGGAAGTATGACAAATACTTTCGCGATTCGTCTGTTGAGTGGGGTAGCTGGAGCCCAATTTCCAAAAAGGTTGTCAACGCATCTGCAAACCCTCGGGTGTAGCAGATGTCTATGGACGGCGGTATTCACTTAACATCACGTGAACCGTCTGCTCGTTTGGCAACTTTTCACATACAAAAAAAAACTATCCACAATGTCAGAAAAGTTTACATTCTGAGACCGGTTTAAACCATATCACCAATTTTTGTTCCATATTCCTTTTTCAACTCATAAATAGTCAATAAGGATGTATTGTCAATACATCCGCTAGGGAAATAAACATTTTCTCGCTTCTTATAGTGTATATGAAAATTTAAAATGTATAAGATGGACAATCGGAACTCGATTTTTCGCTACTTAGCCTTATTGTTAATACTTACCATATTTTGATAAGTCTAGAAAACAGTTAACAAACACAAATTATTATAACATGGTTGTATTTTCTTTTTGCAATATAAATTTTGTTCTTTAAATAACAAAGCAAGTAAAACGTCCTTAAAATAATATGCTTAAAATCTATGTAGGTACAGTGAACCTTAAGCTTAATATATAATTATATCTAAGGTTCCAATTAAGATAAACATACTAGTAAAAATAACATACTATTAATAATGCTAAATTATGCTAAATTAATGCTATAGCATGTTTATTCAAGTGGCATTTTGCTAGAAGGGACAGCAATTTACCTTTGTCTATTTTTCTTGCAAACGACATATTGGCGTCGACTAAAGAAATGATAGCATAATGAAACTGCATGCGGTTTTGATTTATGTCGGTCGCAGACTAGATTTTATTTTCTGCAGATCAATAATGTAAAAAACTGTACGGTTTACAATTTGTTTTACATTTTATTACAGATTTACACATTAAATGTTAAAACAAATTTTACCGAAAGATTTAATTTTTGTAATATCCTTACATGTAAACGTTTATCATTTACAAAAAGTGGAATTAAGGAATAAAATTCTGTGATATTATCACTTTTTAGTCATTATCCTCTCGCAATTTCCGTGCGATTTCGCAATAATATTACTAAAACATATGCATAGATTTAACTCGAGTGTCAGCAATACAGTAAATAACCTGTATTGCTAAAAGGTTTCACAGGCCTATTTTTTTTTTCAGAAAAGGATCACAAACAGCCATGAACGCCGCAGCAACTTACAATGTCTTTATCATCCTTTTAGCAACCTTCGCTCTAATCTTTTCGCCTGCATTTGCAGTTCCAATGGTAAGTAATTTACAAGTCAACTATTTGAGTCAAAAATCTTTGACTATACCAATATGTTCAGTACCCGCGTAAGTAAAAAATCATGAAACGTAACAAACACTGAGAAATAGACGCTGAAACTAGCGATTATACTTTTCTTTAAGATAAAAAGAAGTTTCTATTTTTTTTAAATAAATGTTATATGTGCAGGACTCTGAAGACGAGCCATCGGAGAACACGTTGATCTCCCGTCCGGAGATTCCGGACGGCCCTGACATGGCATCGCCTTGGGATCCCATAACGGCAGCCGCCCTACGCAAGCTTATCGTACAGCTGGACACTGACGAAAGGTCAAATAGAATTTACGAACACATTATTTCTCTCAATATTAGTATATGTAACAGGAACTATATATATTTAACTAACTTCAGATACATTCTCATTTTTGCCAATATAAATTCAAACTATGATTTACACAAATCGTGAAAGATGTTAATAATGTAAACGAATGGATACATTAAATAAGTTTGTCATACGGCAATCTTTTTTAAAAACCTGAAAAATCAGAAAGATTTAATTTGGAGAAACCATTAATTTATATTTTCACCTATGTTATATGGTTTGTAACAGTTATTACGTTTTTTTAAAAAATAAAAAAAATATTCTCAACTAAATACTTAAGATAAAGTTGTTATGAGAATGTTAATCACCTATCTAAGATAGATTTGATGACATTCTTCGCAAAGGTTTACAAGTTTGCTAATTTATACAAAACTGTAAAACAACTTCTGAACTCTTCCGGAATTCATAAAAGTATTATGTACTTTTATGAACTCCGGATGGACAAGATAAGAATTATGTAAACGCCTTTTTAAAGAAGTTTTCGTACAATAATTTAAAAGTTAATTAAGACAAGATTTTATTCTTGGCAATTCAATGGAATTATTAAAGTAAAGGTAGGATATGCCGGAAACGATTTTATGTTCCCGGCTTGATCAGCTACAGAAAATGTTGTCTCTACAGGTAAAATCTAATTGAAAAGCACCAAGGTAAGGAATAATCACAAAGATAATGGTTTTTGTTTCCGCTAGACTCGGACGCGTGGTTCGCTCGTGGCCACAAACTGAGCCCCGGGGCTGGGGTCTTCGCGCAATGGACGGCCGCCTGGCTAGACAGTGGCGCGCCGACAAAAGACAAGTGCGCTTCCGCCAGTGCTACTTCAACCCAATCTCCTGTTTCCGGAAGTGAAGCCTCTGAAAACCACCACGCCCGCCTGCGAATGACATAACGCGCTTACTTGTTGTGTAACAAAAATTAAGCTTTTAAATATAATGTTATGAAACCCAATCATATTTCCCTGTGAATCAAACCCTACATTTATGTATTACGTTTAATTAAAGTTAAACCGTGTAACGATTATTAATTGAAATGTTCGGAGATATTCCGTTTAAACAAATAATTCATGTTTTATTTAACGTTCAAATTTGTACCTTTATTAAAATAATATTTTATGTGCTATAGTTTATAATCTAAGTACAATCATTAATAGCCAAAGAATTTCTCAAATGAATAAGTATTAATATGAAATGAAATAAAGATAATTACCAATCAATTTTTGTTATTTAAATGTTAATGTTGTATGTGTGTAAAGTTTCAGAAAATGCAATTAAAGCAAATAAATTAAACTTAATGTTTACTTATAATTGTGTAGTTATTTCATATACATGTTATTCACAAAGAATAGTAAATACATTTATGTCAACAGAATGGTAAAAGCGTCGCATTGAAAAATTGTTTAAAAATAACTTATATTCAAAATGACGTTTTAAAAGTAAATTTACTATTGCACATATCCTTACTCGAAAAGCAATTGAAAATATATCATCTCTCTCTCTTACGGAAACTAAGAGATATTGCTTTACCTTGTAAAAACTTATAAGATAAAGTAACAAATTTTATTTATCCTGGTACATAGAATACTGACTTTTTTATAGTGTTTATATCTCAAGGCAAATCCATGCATGTTACTTGTAATTACAATTAAAATTTTAGACAGATTTAATCTTGTAAATATTAGATAATAAAAATGATTTAATTTATACCAATGTGCAATGCCGAGACGAGCTAGTTAGAAACCATAAGAACAAAAATTTTCCCTTAATTTGTCTCTCCATAACGTCCAACTATTAATATATCTCTACCTAGTATAAACTGAAGTCGCATCTCGCCGTCTGTTGTAACGCGCGTGATAATCAGCACCGAAAATTGCGTTAACAATTTCTATGGCCCCAGGGATATAATATTGAATTAAAAGCGAGCACCCGAACACTGAATGACTGAAGCATCTCTAAATAACTCACTACATACCTTAAATTCGCTTCCCGCCGTCTATCTCGTCTGTACGTTTAAATATTTTAACACTAGAGTACACGCGTGGGCTACATATGTAGCCCAGGGTATTGTTTTTGTTCATAACTTCGTGAAATCACGTGATTTAATTTCGAGTCTCCAGCTAAGCTCCAATTAGTTGTTGTTCGACGCATTGAGTGCGGTGTGAGTGATCGACGCTGGCGCACGTGCGAAAAATAACGATTTAAAGTTGTTGGGCTACGTATGTAGCCCACGCGTGCACTGGTGGAACTTCTTAGGAACGAAATATTTTTTAAATTGATGTAAGTATTTATATTTTCTTATTAATTTTTGTATTATATATTATATTTATTTACTGTAGACTTACTGTTTGTTGGTATTTTATTTCAGATTGCTAAATATGGATCGCAGAATGGAAGAAAACGTGTTGAAATGGCTAGAAGAGGAGTTAGATTAGGAAGATTTGATTGGAAGCGAACAGAAAGAGGATTTGAGAGAAGAAGAAAATATAATACATTTTCCGCACGACACTGATACCGAGCAAAAAGATCAGACTGATGAAAATGGTGACAATGCTGAACAAAACAACAGTAATTCGGACGACGGTATGCCACTCGCAGAATTAGCCACTTATAATCTCGATATGAAATGGAATGAGGGAAACGACCATTTCCTACAACAAGGGTACATTCTCATAATGTTATACAAAGACATTTAGGACCAAAAGGTACAGCTTCTAATGCCTGTACACCCCTTCAATGTTTCGAGTTATTTTATTATTATTTTTGAATCCATGGTAAAGTTTACAAGAATATACATATGCACACATATATATATATATATATATATATTTGTACAATTTACCACATATAGATAGATATATATAAAGAATAAATACCAAAGAGAACGCGATGCGAAGCCTACGACTCTAACTGAATTGAAAGCGTTTGTTGCTCTACTATAGTTATCAGTGTCAATAGATCAGGACGTCAAAACTTGTTCGATATGCTAGAGGCGTATATGTGATGATCACCATTTTGTCATGCGTGTAATGTAAATTAAAAAAAAATGTAAGAACTAAGCCAAAACTTCATTGATCACAAATAACTAAAAATTGAATTTAAAAATTGAATAGAAATTGAAAAGTGAAGTTTTATTACATTTTTTAAGTTTAAGATAGATCAGATATTTCTTTTTATTCCAGTTTACTTAATAAATGTCATTTATAATAATGATGGAGATGGAGTGACGACCTGTGTAAATGTGCGGGAAGTCGATGGATGCAGGTGGCTCAGGATCGTACTTCGTGGCAGTCTATGGGGGAGGCCTATGTTCAGCAGTGGACTCAAACAGGCTGAAATGATGATGATGATGATAATAATAAATGTGTTTTATTTAAAAATTAAACTATTATCTTTCAGTATATTTCAATTTAAAAATGGGCTACAAGTGAAGGCCACGCGAGCACTCATGAACGTTTTAGAGGCGCGTGTACCGTAGTGTTAAACTACGCAACACTACGGTACACGCGCACAATGCGGTTTTCATCAATATATAGAGTGATTTAAGACGAATTTTTTTCCCTACCTAAATAAAATAAATGTTGTCAACGCATTTGCAAACCCTCAAGTGATGTAGGTGTCCATGCGCAGCGGTTGCCACTTAACATCAGGTTAACCCGCTTGCTCGCTTAACAAATTTTCACATAAAAAAACTAATTAATTTTCACATAAAACAGTCCTGTTTCATAATTATATAATTTTTACGATTGTGCATTTCACAGTCCAATGTATCAATAAGTTGGATATTTGTTTTGCAAATGTTGCCGCGCGCACGTAGCTTATTAGCCGATCGGAGTGGAAGCGGAAATGCTTCTGAAAGCTCGGGCTGATGGGAATTTAGATTCAATTTGCATTTACGCGAAACACCTTAGTAAGAAAATAAAGGTAAAACTATGAAAACATTTCATTACGCCACAGCTACGAGTACGTAGAGGATATTAGGCCCTTGCAAATGTATTACGGGAAAGTTTATCAATATCGTCTGTTTAAAAACATTTTTAAAACTTTTTAAACTTACACCGACCCGCATATGTTAAATTTGCAATTGGGAAAGTAATAAAATCTAAGGAATCTGGTTATTTCATCTTAAAAACTATTCACTGGTAATTTCAATAATAAGCAGCAAAGAATTTATTTTGTGAATATTATACGTTTCTTAGATATCTAGGAACATAAGATTAGAGGTAGGCAGACTATAATACTAAGAGATATTTGTTGTTTTGATACGCATAGTATGAACATCTTGGATTGTACAAATAGAGTAAAGGTTTATATGGCCTCCTCATCAACTGCTTCGTGCATTATCATGTAGTTTTGATCCACACGGGAAAAAATTTATTGCTCTGTAAAATAGAGGTTATTTCTCAGAGCGGAAGTGTTTGTTTGTTCTTTTTTTAAATAGATAATAAGTTAAGTAACCAGATTAAATAATAATTAATATATAAGTTTAGTATCCATTAAATGATTCATTGTTGCCGAATTAGTTCTTTTAGAATGGAAGTATTAATAGTTTTACAATTAGGGAACTAAATCCAAAAGGTTGCAACCTTCCCAGATTAGATAAACTTATTTCATTGCAACTATAGATGTATAGAGCACTGTCTGTAATGTTTTGCTTAAGCTCGAGCTGAGACTTCGTTAAGCGTTAATCTTTTAAGATTAGAATAGAAAGATATCGGTTTATTCGCCTTGTTAAACCCGTATGCATTCTATGGTAATATACAGTCGATTATCATTTTGTCCACTATTTCAAAAAATACTATATTTATACTGGTTTCGTATAAATTCATTTTTATTACATAACACTACCTATTCCTAATATTGTTTACGCCCTTAATTAAGTTAAATTAATTAGTTAATTAGTTAAGCATTTAGTCGCTAGTGTATTTCATTATACTACGGGTGTCTCCTCCCGCCATCGCAGTGCGTCGCCGCTTTCTCTAATTATGCCAGCGCGGATCGCTTAGTTTTGTTTAGTGATAGTTTTAATTTTACGATATTTCACAAGATATTTATTTAAATGATGTACGGCTCAAACATTTTTTGAAAAAATATCTAGTACGATATATTTTCATTACACCACTAAGCGTAAGATCAATTAAAGTAAAAAAAAAATAATGTAAGGAATTAATCACAAATGAGCATTAATTATACGTGAGGTAAACATTACATAGTTTAGAAAAATAGTTATTATCTTCAATACCAAATTAACTTCAATTATTATTATTAAATATAATCACAATAAGAAGTAGTAAGATTCAATCCTTGGGTACGTAAATTACAGATGTATCGATCTGCCGAATCCCTTACAGAACATATAGCATGAGACACAGTCCGCAAGTAGTACTGTGATACCACAGTATTTATTCCAAATTCTTCGTAAATAATGCATTTGTTGTAGTCTTCATCACCCACATTCACTTTGTCATCACTGTTATCGTCGCAAAGTTGCTCTTCGTCTTCATATTCTAAAGACCTTTCTTGTAGAATCTTTCGTTTCTATAATTTTTGTTTCTTATTCTTCTTTCCTTTTTTTAGTTTTTTTTTTTTTTTTTTTTGTTTTCATTTTTAAGTTTTATTCGGTTTCGCAATCGTTTATTTTTATATCTTGAAAATCTCATAGGAATCTCATTTAATATAGTAGAATGTCGTTTCCGTTCTGTCTTTCATAAGGCTGGTTTAGAAGATGGCGTCGTTGTTAAATCAGCAAAAAATAGAGGCTTTTTCGCACCAAGCTACTTTAATGGTGGTTCGTGGATGATTTCAGATCATGTCTATAAGAATTACAATAAGTAATTAAGGGGTAATGGCGCT